CGCTGGTTATTGCCTCCTTTTTCACACATAGGTGAAGTGGGGGCATGTTGAGTAGCGTCTCTAGGGCTGCGGTGGGGCAAGTTGACATTGCTCCCGTTATTCCTAGACATATCAGCCTTTGCACCTTTCTTAGCTTAATCTGAGCGGTGACTTGTTGGGTTTTGGGCCACCACACCAATGAGGCGTATGTGACCATAGGCTTTATTATGGTTTGGTAGATCCAGAATACCATCTTTGGCTTTAGCCCCCATGTTTTGCCAACAAGTCTTCGGCATGACCAAAATGGCTGATGTAGCTCGAGAGCATGTTTTCTCTAACTGTTTGTTCCAAGTGAGGGTTTGGTCCAGGGTGACCCCTAAGTACTTCACTTCGTTGGAAAATGTTAGTTGTGTACCGTTAAGGGTCGGGGCTTTCAAATTTAGCTTCCTTCTTCTTGTGAACGGGACAAGGATTGTTTTGTTTGCGTTTAGGGATAGTCCTTCGCCTTCGCTCCAATTTTTAACGATGTTTAGGGCACTTTGCATTCGGCTTGTCACTATACCTTCATGTTTGCCCTTGATTACGATGGCTAGGTCATCTGCGTAACCTATGACCTGGTATCCAGCACTACTCAGTCTGGTAAGAATTTTGACTACCACCAGTGTCCATAGTAGCGGAGAAAGAACACCCCCTTGAGGACACCCTCTGACCGTGGTAGCGGTAGCTGATGCTCCGTTTATTTCAGCCGTAACGTGACGGTGCTTCAGGATCGACTCTATCCATTTTACAATTGGAACTTCAACATCCCATTCTTGTAATGCTCTGGCGATTGATTGATGTGAGGTGTTGTCAAAGGCACCCTCTATGTCGATGAAAGCTGAGAGCGATCTCTTTGCACTCGATTGTCTTTTCAATGTCTTTAACCAGGCAGTGTAAAGCACTTATCGTGGATTTGCCTGGCTGATAGGCAAATTGCTTCGAGTAGAGCGGTCTTCTCAATAGAGTTTCGCTTCTGATGTACTGGTCGATTGCTTTCTCCATTGTCTTAAGGAGAAAGGAGGTTAGACTAATGGGACGATATGATTTTGGTTCGTCCTCGGGTCGGCGATCCGTTTTTGGTATGAATATCACATTAGCTTCCCTCCAAGATAGCGGTATGTGCCCTAGGAGCAGGCTTGCCTTAAAGAGCTTTTGTAGGTGTACCTTTAAGTGCTCGTAGCCTTTTTGCAGTTGCGCGGGAAAAATCCCGTCTTTGCCTGGAGATTTGTAGGGTCTGAAGCTATCGATCGCCCATTTTATTCTATTCACTGTGAAGATTTTCCCAGCCAGCCTTTTGCTCCTGCCGTTAGGGCTTTGTGGCCCTTCGATAGGCGGAGTGACCTGGTTCAGGGCTTCAACGATTACCGAACCTGGAAAGTGAGTTTGTAGTAGTACCTCTAGACTTTCTGTATGGTCGGTACAGTGTTCTCCGTTTGGCTTTTTAAGCAGACCAATTCCGTTTGAGTGGTTTTTTGAAAGAACTTTTTGGAGACGTTGAGCTGGGGCTAATTCGTCAATCCCCTCGCAGAATTGTCTCCATGATTTCCTTTTTGATTTTCTTAATTCACGGTTGTACTTGTCTAGGGCTGTTCTATAGTCTGCCCAGTTGCCGTTAGTTTTTGCCTTGTTGAACAGTTTTCTGGCATCTTGTTTCAGACGTCTCAGCTGCCCGTTCCACCAAGGCACATCCCTGTGGACTGCCTTCTGTTTTACGGGACAACTGTTCTCATAGGAATCTTTTATCGCGTTTGTTAGATTGTCAGATGATGCCTCTAGCTCTTCTATTGTAGTTATGTCAAAAGGGAGTTCATCTAGACTCAGGCACAGACCCTCCACAAAGGATACCCAATTGGTGAGTTTTGGGATTCTTGTCTGTACTGAGTGGTTTATAACTGCCTCTAGGTCGAACCTTATTGCTTGATGGTCCGACAGGGAGGGTTCATTTGACGAGCCAGTTGGTTATTGTGTTAGATGTAAATGTGTCAGAGAGAGTCACGTCTAAGACCTCTTGTCTGACGGCGTTAATAAAAGTGGGTTTGTTACCTTTGTTGATAATGTCTACGTTGTTAGAGTTCAAATATTCAAAAAGGTACTCACCCCTTGCGTTTGTATCGGTGCTTCCCCATCCTACCTGGTGATGGGCGTTGGCGTCCGCCCCGATAATGTAGTGTCTGTTTCTCGCTCTGCACCACGTAATGAGTCGTTGGACGATCTCTAGCGGTGCTGAGTTACCTGGAAAGTAGGCTGAGGCTATGAGAATATGCCTTGAGCCCCCCTCCGTTGGCACTTCTACTAAAGCAGCTGCCAAGTCTTGTGTGATGAACTCTGGAACAGGTAAAAATTTTAAATTTTTGTCAAGCAGCAATGCTGCTCTTGGTCTTTCATGGTTAATGTTGTAGATTAACTTACATGATTTGATATTTAGGCCTTTTATAGAGCCTCCATTGACCCAGGGCTCTTGAAGTAGCCCTACGTTGATTTTTTGTCCAAACATTCTTCTTCTAAGCTCACTAGTGGCAGCTTTTGAGTGTTGAAGATTTATTTGGATGCATTTGATGCATGGTGAGTTGCTTCTCTTTGGTTGCTTGGAGGGAGCACTTAGAGTTGCACTCACTTTTCGCACTCCACCTGGGCACTTTCGTCTTTATGACTCATTGAGTCTTTAGACGTTCCTGCCCTTGGTTCGGCGCCGCTTTTCTTTGGGGAGCTTGGTTGCTCCACAGCTGTTATGCTCCGGCTGCTTTGCGGTTTTATAGTCGTATGACCGAACTTGTAACTTACCGCGTAGCCTCCGGATTTGAGTTTTTCTGCGGATGCACTGTCCACAGAAAGGGTTAGTGTGACCAGATGGCCCTCGGCGTTGCGTCGGATGACTCGCCAATTTTTGACGTTTAGGCCCTCATTTTGGCCTTGAACGAGATTGAGGATTTTCTCCGTGGAGTAATCCATGCTGCTTGGGAATCGAGCAACCAGGACGTCAGAGTGAGAAATGTCAGATTCCTCTACCATCCTTAGCGAAGCTTCCTCCCAAGGCTTGATGGAGGCGACTGCAGTTTGCAGCCACTACTTGGTGGCTATGTTTTCGCAAACTGGAGCGAGCCAGCCGGGTCTGTTGTGGGCGCTCAGAAACTTCGGTTTGACCGGGCAATCCGATGCTACCTCGTCCACGATCTTATCCATAATTGCCTCTTTTGTGGCTTGAATTTGCTCCACTGACAAAAGGCAATTGGGGAAGTCTGTAGGTAGTATTCCTACCTTTATGCCTCCAGCTATCTGGCTGAAGGTTGGTTTTGGAGCTCTGGAAGGCGGAGCACTGCTGCTCGTTTCCTTTTTTGTTGGCGGGGCATTTCTGCCCGTATCCCTTGTCCTAGCTCTTTTTTTGGCTTGAGCCTCGGGGGTGTTTCCTTCTGACCGGGCTCTTTTTTCGCCCTTGTCAGAGGTTTTAGACCTTTCTTTGATTGGCTCAAGGGCCTTTTTGCGGGCTTCGTCTGCACTCATCCCTTTTTTTTTGAGGAATTTCATCCTCTTTCTGGCAGCGCCACTTAGCCTGATCCTCACGTCGCCCTTCAGTCGTAGGGCACTCAGATCTTTGCCGAGTTCTTCGTCTGAACGTAGAAGTTCTTCTTCTACGTCAGTGGGGCTTTTACAGTCCCCTACTTCCATGTTTTCGGATGTGCTTGAGGCGCTATCATCCTTTGCCTTGATCGTTTGATTTTGTGTGTCCATGTTAGGTCCCACGAGTAGCTAGGGAAATAAACCATACGGCCGAGGCAGAGCCCCGCTTGCCCCGGTCGGGCTAGTTAAGCCGTGGGGTCGCCACATCCCTGGAGTTCGCATAGTATCGATTAGGCTCTCCCCTAACCACGCAGTCCTTGGCCTATGCTGTTCCACCGTGACTTGGATGGATTTTTATTGTGGTTCGCCTTCCACTTGGCCGACCAGTTAAGGTAGGCCCTCACGCTCTAAAGTGTAGATTATGGTCGTTTATCCCGGTTGCCAAATTTTCAAAATGATCCGCTTTTTAGTTCTCCATAAACGTCTAATACGCCATCCAGCGTGGGACACCCAAAATAATGAGATAGTGCAAAACTTTTTTTTATTGTGTATACCTATATTTTGTATTTGGGCTTACAAACCCAAAGGCTGGATATACGGCTTTAACGTGAAGTTTTCACAGGATACTAACACATGAATCTGTGCATCATTTTATAACATAATTCAGGCTTTACCTGTTGAAGTCTTCCAGGAAATATATATTAAATACACATAAGCAGATACATCTCACATGAGGATGTTACATCATAATATGTCCCGATTCTGATCTATGTCTTATGTTATTTTTGTAATTACACACTCAAACCTACTGGCCTTCAGCTGCCAATAAAGCATATTTTTTTAGTCTTTTGCATCTGAGAATAGCTTTGTTTTGGTTCAAAATTTGGAACGGTTCTAGGATTACGTAGAACTGCTTGAGCACAAAAAATAATAGAGGACTATTCTAATACCAGTTCTGAACCGATTCGGAACCAAAAAAACCAAATCACAAAATTCTGAAACAGTTTCTCTTTCAGAGCATGGACTCAGAGAACCGTTTTAGAACAATCCCAGAACTGTTCTCAGCTAGTTCTAGATAAACCAAAACACTATCAACACAGTTCGATTACGATTCTGAAAAAACGAAAACGCGTTTTATAATATGCGCATGTGCAGAACGATTCCGAACTAGTTCTGAGTGAAACCAAAACAAAACTAATATCTGATTCGAACCAAAACTGCCTTGGCTATTTACGGAGCACTGATTTTCCGCCTCACTACTACCCTGGTGTTTACTACATCTCAGAGAGAAGAAACATTTGTCTGTAGAAACATATCAAGACGGGGAATATCATCAAACAATATCAATCAATTTGTGAATGTAAATAGCTATTGGGTACATCGTTACTAGCTGAAATAAAAGAAGACTTTGAAAGAAGCACAGTAAATAAATTATAATTATTTATTTGCCTTATCAACTAAAAGCAAATACTCACAAACTGTTTTAAGGATAAAGAGTATAGCAAAAAGAATACACGATATTTTGTTATTTACAATGAAATTGCAAAGGCTCCATCTTAAGCCAAAACAAATAAAAACTAAAACAATACAGAATACAGGGGTCAAAGAAAAAAAAATCCCTTCTAAAATGGAGCCTTGCAAGCATAATGAAGTTTAACATAAACTAAATATGACAATCATCTAAGAATAATTATCTATCAGCTTAAAAATATTTTACACAGTAACAAATTAGACATTAGTTCTAAGTTTAATGTTATGAGTACCTAACTAAATAACAAATTAATTTGATGAGAAGGCCGTATATAGGATTTATTTGCTTAAAAAACTGCATTTTTAGTCCAGAAAGTAAAATACGGAAAATCCCGACAATCATTGGAATGTGAAATTTGTGCAATTTGTCCAAAAATACTAATTTCCTTAATATTACTTATTTTGACACACTAGAAAAACTTACTAAATAAAACTTTAATAAGATATTCAATTGAAGACGAGCTACTTCTATTAATTTCTAGAATATGCCAGTATCCCATTACACGGCCTCATAGTAAAGAATTATTAGGGTTCATAATGTAAAATAGTGAAAATAAATGAAAAATCACAATTAATTTTTTTTGTATTTTACCTACATCACTCTCTAAGATTACATAACTGAGATTGAAATGAGACTGCAAACTGTGAGTACAAATTCTTGGCCGTTAATTGGTACCTACACCCGTTCAAGTGTTTACTTTTTTTATACAAATACAGAAAAAATTTCAAAAAATCCATCAATAACACAATTGCACAAGAGTATCAAAAAAAAAAATAATAATTAGCAACCAAAAACAATAAGTGTTCATTATTTTTAAATTGTAGATTTGTACATAGTGGTCGGCTTAAAAAGGGACAATAAGTAGGTACCTTATAATCGAGTCAATCAGTTTTTTGGAAACAAAAATTCAAGTGAAGGTTGTTTGTTTGTTCTGAAGAAATCTTGAGAATATGCTGGTCGAATTGAAGTTTCTGGATCGCTGATAACTAATCATGAACAATTAGATTAAGGTCTATACGGAAATAAGCAAATATACAGGATGTTCCATTAGCAAATGCACATGCATAATCATCACACTGTATTATATTAAAATAACCCGTCGTCAGAACCAATGACTTTAGTTTGATTTATGTTTGGAAAAAAGTAATAAATACTTAGGTAGTTCCCAATATGAGCTATTTTTCCTTTTCAAGCCGACTACCCTAACCTGTTTATACTAGTAAATTTCTGATAAATATGAATTAGTGTAAAGATTCAAGTTGTGTAGAGAGAATATATAGAAGAAAAAAATAGATACTTTCATCCCTTCAAACTGGGACTGAAGTGAATAAATCTCTCACAAAGGATTACATTTCTTAAAAAATCCTAATGCAGATTAAGTGTTTCCTGGCAAAGTTAGATTAAAATCCTGGAGGCATCTTTTTTTTATAAATTATAGCAATGACAATAATTTTTTGTGAATAAATGTGTCATCTTAGTCCTTTGGTACAAAATTTACTTAGAGAATTTTCGACTCTTTTAGGATCTTCTGCGTCTAAAAAAATATTTGTCAAATGTCTTATGCTTGGTAAATCCTGACGTCTTTTCTGCTTAAGGCAAAACAATGTTTTCAGATATAAATATTTTTTAAATGACTTAAAAGGTAACAAGATTCTTTTTTTTTTAATTGAACATAAAGGTAGTTTTTTCACATGCATTAGATTGAAGTGAGTGAAACGGAATTTTCAAGACCACGTGCTATTTCTTTTTCTTTAAATTTCTCACACATTAGGGTACTTGCATGGAAAATTAAATTGATTATTGTTTATCGCAAACTGAAGAAAATGGAAAAAAATTGATGCATGTTTTTTTTTTTTGTCCTAGTACGATTATTCCGGAAGTTATACAAATATTAAGTTTTTTATATATAGGTATACCGAGCATGTGCAATGTCATAAATTTATATAAGTGCATAGGCACATTTCATAGCGTTGTATCTCTGTCAATTTTTAACTACAAAGAAAAAGAAAAGACACGTGTTGATTTATTTTTTATCGACTAACGAAATCAGCGATGAAAAAATTCATGCAAGTACCATATTATATCTACAAGAATGGTGTACAGAATAATTTTTGATATTTTTCAATAGTAATAATCTTTCATATGAAACTGGTATGCAGTGTTTTTCTTGGAAGAACCGAGTCATTCTACCATCTGCAACTTAAACAAAAAGTGCAACATTACCGTACTTTACTTACAACAACACTTACATAATATAATAAATATATTTTGTAAGATTAGTGCCCACGCCTGAGCTGGCAATTTTACTTAAATAATGTTTTGCCTGAGCTGAAAGAGTCGATTTCCTTACATATTATATGCAGTATCCAGTTGAAATACATAAGTTCTTAGTTGCAAAACAGATGAAAAACATAAAATTAGCTTTATTTCCACTTCCTGCTTCCTCACTTATTCTCAGATTCGATTCACACAATATTAAACCCCAAAATGCAAATTTTACAATAATAATAATGAGCTTTCAACAATCCAGACAATTAGAAAGTGTTATTTTTCAATGTTTCATGGTGGAGCGGTGCAGACATTTTGTCCAAACAATGCAGATTTCAGATTTCAATATATCACATAATTTGTTTACAAATTATTTCAAATTTCAAATGAGATATAATCGAATTTCAGAAGAAAAACCAATTTCACAACAATAAGTAATAGGTACAGACTATAATGCAAACATGAAAAACACATACTTATTTCAAACTGTATCAGCAAACTCTTTACAACTTATGTTCTCAAAAAAAAATAGGTGGAATTGGATGAAGTTTAAGAAGCTATCTCATAAAAATTGTTTGAGATGAATATAGAAGGTTTTGAATTGCAAATTCCAAACTGAAAATAAATACATCATGGATTTTTTGAATAGGGATATTATTTAAAATTTACAATAATGAGCTTATGCTATCCTTAGAATATTTATGCTAACACATAAAAATAGGTAACTGTCCCGAAATATCTCGGATTCGTCACAAGTGCTAAAGAACTTGTATATATGGTAGATTTGAATCTTATTGATCAGAAAAAAAAAATGCTTCAATACATAGCATAGGATCTCAATTAACAACACAGCACATCACACATCACTGCCCTCACCAAAGGTTCCAAAGTTCTGTATATGTGTTGGTCAACTTGGCCACAACATTGAGTATATTTCTTAAAGACGTTACTTATCTTTAGGCCTAAGCATAATTAATCTCAGTGCTTATCCCATTGATATTTTCATTATTACTTAAATTACTTTTGTATTAGGACAGAAAGAAAATAGTGTCAAAGACAATAGAATTAACATTACTATTCTGGAAACATGTGGTACACTATGTTTTATTAGTATAAACTCTACTCTTTCCGGCTTTTTAGCAATTACTTTCCGTTTATGGAAGTTGGATACAAAAATGTCATCTATCTAATTTCTCTGAAATACCAAACAATACCTTTTTCATTTTCGGTAACTCAAAAATATTCAATTTTGGATACAATATTTGCTTTAGTAGTTTTCAAAAACTCTGTAACGTGACAATATTGTCAAGAGTAAGAAATACAATGTTAGATTAACAAACCTATTCCAAAAAGAAAAAACACTGAACGGCAAATAAAACCCCTCTTGTACCATGTAGGACAACTAAATTTAAAGATTTCAACAATATTTTTGTCTCACACAGATAAATAATTGGTTAATTAGAGTACATACAAAAATATAATGATATAAGAAAAAAATAAATAATTTCTACTGTAATTCTTGGAAAGATAATTAAACTAAAACATTGAATACGTTTTAAATAATGCAAAAGATGAATTCATTTAATCTTCAGGCACTAACACAGAATTTTGTAACAATGTTTCAAAGTAATAGTACTTAAAAAAAAATCAAAGATGAGAATAAGGGAAAAAAATGAGAGAAGATTAAATGTACCTATTTATCCGTCTTCTTTTGGAGGTGTAAACCAGCCTGAAAAAATATTATAAATATAATTCTTTATTTCAAACAGAAATCTGTCAAAGCAAATCAAATCAAGATCTTAAAAAATAATAACATTTATTTACCATTCTTTTCGTGTATCTGTACAAGACTTTTGAAGCTCTGCTGCGCCCTCGCAAGACTATATTGCCCCTGTGTGGTTACTTTGGTTGGACCGAATTGAATACGCGCTTTGCCCTTCACCAATGTTGCAGATATTTGCATTATGACAGCTTCCACAGTGTAGGCACTCGACCAACCCTGCTTTGTCAATAGTTCCATACAAATGGCACCACCAACTAGAACATAGCCACCTGAAAACAAAATGGATTGTAATTCAGAAGGTCTCCGGAAGCATGGATTAGTTTTCAGTATGAAAACACAAAAACTAAAACTTTGGTTGTTTTACTCATCTAACTATGGTTAGGCTAATTGCCAAACTCAGGTTGGATTCCCTGAACTATGGTTAGGTAAGTAACACTTTCTCAAGAATACCTGCGTACTAATTTTTTTTTTTTTTTAAATTATTTATTAACTAATCGTCGAACTCGTATAGCATAGTGTAAAGGTTTTGTGTGAGTTTTTCTCAATTTTTCGGTGGTTTTACTCGACTAATAATTGTGATTTTTGTACAGTTGTGCTTTTTACCATGTCTAAAAACTGTTGTGTTAATCGCATCGCCAAATATTAGAAAGGTGTTAAATTATTGCCATTATAGAAGATTTCATTATGAATGACTTTGGCAGAAAGTCGACAAACAAAGTCACATAACCTATAAATAGGATTGTAAAAGTGATAGTCGAACGAGTTTCATTAAATTAACGACCCCATTTGCCTCCACTGGATTTTAAGATAACACAGCATCTTTCAAATCTACGCTTTCGTAAGTATTCGGTGCATTCGCTATGGCTTCTTTGGTTGCAAAACGTTTGATAAAAGTAACAGAAAGTGATGTGACAAAGCCAAGAAATTCATGAGACAGTAAAAATCTAGGTGAAAATGCTTTTGCTTTTAATGTAAATAATGAAACAGCTTTTAAGACAGAAGAAAACAGTGGTGAGATGCAGTTCGATTACTCAGGGGACTCATGGTTTATGGGCCGCAGGGCATAAGCTCATATGACTTATCATAAAGAATATTTCTTTAACTTTGATTAATAAAAGTTTTAAATCATGTGTTTCACTAGGAAACAATCAGACCTTACCTGTCGAAGGAAAAGGTAGTATAAAAATTCAGAAGCTGATCAATGGTCAATGGACTTCAGCGACCATCAATAAAGTGCTATATGTGCCTCAAATAAAAAAGATATGGAAACTCAAAACTTGTTGTGGTTGCTATTAAAGACAACAATAATAGGTACAAAATGCTATTTCGCACAGTGCAGTGTTACACAACACATTTGTTGCAACAGAGGAAAAGGACCCCGCATTAATCTTATGGAAATTGGGTCCCGGCTAAATTTTCTGCAACTTTGGCATATGATAGTTTTTGAGCTTCTGATCAATAGCTATCATTGCGCAAAAGTGTTACCATTGCTAGTTTTCAAGATATTGGGCCTTTTTTTTGGTTTTTTGGGTCGCGCTCGGAAGCGTTAAACGTCCGCTGACCTAGAGCGAGGCAGTAACATGTGAAGAAAAAGTTCAGTAGCAAAAAGCTATAGGTGAAAAACTTGAAGCAATACTGAAGAATGATATATGGAAAATGGTTGAAAATTGCCAGAAGAGAAGAAGGCAATTAATTCGAAGTGGGCGTTCAAAGTTAAGAGAAAACCAGACTGGACAATTTCAAGATTCAAAGCAAGATTGTGTGCTAAGGGCTATGCTCAGAAAGAAGGAATGGATTATAATGAAATTTTTACACCAACTACGAGGTACGACTTCATAAGAGCCTTGTTAGCCTTACCAAACATCAAAGACTATGAATTCATGCAATTTGATATTAAAACAGCGTTTTTGTACGGTCAACTTGAAGAAGACATTTTTATGACGCCAACTCTTGGACTACAGTGCGATCCCGGACTTGTTTGCAAGCTCCAAAAATCGTTACATGGTTTAAAACAGTCGCCGCGGTGCTGGAATCGAAAATTTAACTCATTTTTGGCTAGTTTTGGTCTTGACAAGTCATCAGCAGATCAGTGCGTTTATAAATGTTATGTAAACAAAAAAAAACAAAAAAAATCACGCTTTTAATAATAAAGTGATATTATGTTGATAATCGTCTGTTATTTTTATCAGAAAAAACAGCAATTGAGCCAGTTTTGTGTGATCTGAAAAAATGTTTTGAAATTACAGTAACCAATGCCATATATTTTGTAGGTCTTGAAATTTCACGCAATATTGAAAGTGGAAAAATGTTTCCTAGTCAAAAGAACTACATAAAACAAATAATTCAACGTTTTGGTCAACAAGATGCTAATGCAGAGAGCACACCAGCTGATTCTAATGTGTGCTTTACCAGTGAAAGCAATAGTGAAAGTGCAATACAAGAATTGCCATACAGACAAGCAGTAGGTTCCTTGATGTTTTCAGCAGGGATGTCCAGGCCAGATATTGCATATGCGGTGGGAGTGGTAAGCCGTTACATCAATTATTATACAACTTCACACTGGAATGCTGTCAAGAGAATTATTCACTATTTAATTGGGAACATAGACTACAGTATTTGCTATGAAAAATATGGAGAAAATACCTAGCTACATGGGTTTAGTGACGCTGACTATGCCAGTGACGATCCACCACGGGGTATGTTTTCAAATTAGCGTGCCTGTAACTTGGTCTAGTAAGAGACAGCCAACGGTGTCATCTGTGGGTATTGTCAATCACAGAATCTGAGTTTATAGCTGCGTCACAAGCTACTAAAGAAACGATATTGCTCGAAAGATTGTTTTTAAATTTAGATGAGGAAGTAATCAGAAAGCCAATGACACTTTTTATTGACAATAAAAGTGCCATCAAATTAATCAAGAATCCAGAATTTCACCAAAGAGCAAAGCATTAGATATCAAGTTCAAATTTATCAGAGAAAAATATGAACTTGGACATTTGAATCCAGAATATATAAGTGCAAAGGAGCAGGAGGCTGATATATTCACCAAGAGTTTTAGTTTTTTTTTTTAAATATTTTGTAATCAATACACACAGCAACATGACAAAAGGTGGGAGTGTTGAAATAAGGTCAGTGACACTCGTTTTTTGATTGATTCTTATCAAGCAAGGTTACGTTCCCAATTCATGCGTTAGCAATGAACTTTAGCACAACATTTTCAAGGCCGGTCGTCCTCTGGATGCGTTTTTGTCCGAATTGCATTAGTCAGAAATCGGACGAAAAAGTGAGAATGATCTCATTTCAGTAAAACCTAATGACGGTCGTACATTGTACCCGAAATTATTGGTGCGAATCCGGACGAAAACATGCGATTGATCCGAAAAAAAATGGGATTTTTCGCAGTAAATCTGACGATTTGTGTGTTGAGTGTGTTGCTGCTGAGAAGATAGAGATATGGATATCGAAAAATTGATAAATTTGATTCATGAAAAAAAACCATTTTGGATATGATCGAAAAATCATATCATGTGAGACACATGCAGAGAAAACTGTGGCAAGAAGTAGCAGTTGAAATGAGTTGAAATTCTCCGAATGGTTTTCGTTTTGTTAAAATATCATTAACACCGGACTTTTCCATTTTCAATCCCCGTCTAACAAGATAATTATTTTCCAAAAGATAATCGTCCATATTACTCCACTACGTTAAGACTGACTTCGCAATGCAAAAACTTGTCCAGTTGACGATATCAAGTATGCGAAATTCGACGAAAGTATTCGTCCGATTTCTGACGAATGAAGTTCGGATGAAAACGCATCCAAAGGATGACCGGCTTTAGGTTGTCACTTTCCAAAGCCGTTTTCTCGCGTCCACTTTTTTGACATTGGTTCAAAACCGGTTTGAAACAGTCAAAGGAAACACCATTGCCCGTTTCAAATGTGTTTTGAACCAATGTCAAAAAAGTGGATGCGAGAAAATGACTCAGCTCTGATTTATTGATATTCTTACCTGATATAATGGGATGTACGACCCTGACAAATGGAGGCTCGAAAGGATAAGTATCTTTAAATAACATATTCAATTGTATGCAGTCTTTTCCCTCTTTTTCTTTGAGCATTTGCAAGTCATGAGACAATGGGCTGTCGGGATCGACGGCCATCAATCTCACGTTCCACTCATAGAGGGAATCGCTAACCAGCTCAATTTGGTACATTTTATTTTTGAAAGATTCCGAACGATAGATATCTCTTAATTCTTTCATCAGTCTGTCTGTGGCTTGTACTGATCCTGATACTGACCCCTAAAATGAAAAATAAACATGTAATTTATTTAATTTAAAAAAAATAAGAAACATTACTTTTAAATAATCTTGTCTTTGATTTTGACGTAGTCTTTCTAAAGTTGCTAAATGTTCAACGCCCATTTCTTCTGCCTTTTGTCGTCCAGTTGATCCGTCCTCCATATCCATACCTAAATCTTCGTCATCATTATCATCACTATCTTCGTCCACTGATACCGCATCAGAATCTTGTGCGTCTGCATCGCTATCAAGTCCTTCGTCTTCCATAGGTTCGAGACCACTATTGCTAATTCTGAAAAAAAAACTGTAACTAATACATTTCAAACATATTAAAACGGTTTTACCGATCCGCGATATCCTGTTCATCAGATATTCTAAGTCGATCTAAGTCAGGTGGTTCTGATACAGCATGTAATCTACATAATTCTTTTAAGAGAATTATAACTTGGTGAAGTACATGATTGTCCAGGCCCTCAGTATTGCTGAGAATCTGTACAGCGTTCGTTATGCTAGTTTCTTCGGAATCAGCAAACCAAACTGGAGGAACGGCAGGATAAGTTTCCTAAAAAGGAAAATAATTTTAGAGGCATTGATTTTTTTTTCTTCAAAAACTATATGTTGAAAAGTTTAATAACAAATACCCACTATTATTACGTAAGAGAAAGAATTTTAGACTAGGTAATATAAAGATATATTCAACAGTAGCTGGGAAAGCTACTAGGAATAAATATTGACATAGGAACGGAAATCCAATACTTTATTTTATGCTTTATCTTGTGCTCCAAGTATGATTGTATGTCAAATAAACTTATCTGCATAAGTATGTAAGTAAAAGCTTGTTTATGTTACCAAGTCGAGTATCTATAAAAAGACGTATTGAAAATGAACATTTCATTCCTATTTAAAGAATATAAAACCAATAAGTGATTCAACTATTACTTTTAATAAGTCAAAAGCTATCCGATTTGTTTCCCATGAGTTTATTCGCCAACAATTTATTAGATCTAAAAATTAACAAAATTTGAATCATCATGGTTAACCTATGATTGATATGTGTATGTGCATATATTTTTTGGAACCAGGCCAACAAACTAATTGAAAAATTGAACATTGACACAAAGATTTTATTAGATGTTATTTCACATAGAATAGATCACTGTTCTTTAGTTTTTTTCTAATTTTTCACACAGTCAATGATATTGAAAGTGAAAATGGGCCGAGTTCTAATGAATTGTGTATGTCATCACAGGGTCTAGTAACTCAATGGCTCAATCAATTCGAGTTCAGTTGAACTTTATTTTGAACGGAGATTCACACAGCACAATTCGGTATTCAAATACTTCACTATTAGATAATTTGTACTCTCTAAATTGTAGAGATTGATAGGTCTCGAACCTTCAAGGCTTATTATGAATAAAGATGTTTCAAGATTTTATAGAAACAAATTAATGCATTGAAAGCTGTATACCTATGTAATATGGCCCCAGTCTAAAAACTCAACCATAATTTCGCAGATGGCCTGAAATTAATCTTCCCAAAATGGAAAGGAATTTAGGTTGCGACACTAGCAGTAGGCGACCCTATCTAAATGTTGAGTTTATTTGAAAAAAGACTTTTTGAGGCACTTTCCACCATCTTCTCCACAGCATATCCTATACACAATTAAAAAGGATTTGTAGTGCAGAGAACATATCACAGTTTGATATTCGTTGAATACATTTCTGGAGAAAGGAGTTTATAACTTTTTACTCGACTTTTTAGTTCCAAGAAAGATGAAAGTGATATTTGCTAGAAGAAATTTATCATAAGCACAGAGCAGATAATAAAAAAAAAAACGATAAAGAAACTTGAGCCGAGAGGGAAAAAGCCAAAGGATATACAGTTTTTACAATGGATCTACCATCACCCTCGGTTTTACGCTAAGTTTCATCTAATATTGATGGAAGAAATAATGATACATTACGTAAGGGGCCTGGAAACTAACTTTGGCCTACTTGACAAGATGCCAGGGCGATGCGACCATATACATACTATAATAGGGAATGGATGAAGCTCGGGATAGAGTAATGAGTAATGGATGTGTTTGTATTCTGATTTTCATAACATACATATCCAATTTTTCGACAACTGTTATCGTATTTTACATTATTAGCTAGTGAAAAATGTTACCTGGCGTATAATATGCAATATTTTATTTGTTACTCCTTTGTAAAAAATATACTTGGGGTTTTCTATTATGGTTCTGGCACAAATCCATTTTGTTTCTTAAAATTAAAACTCTTTTCACTCTAAAAGGTAATGGTTTTTCGCCTCCTGTAAAATTTAAATTTGGACAGCCATTTTCATGATGCTGACGATATTTGTTATCCCAAAATATTGTGATGTCATTTGTATCCATACATAAGTGCAAGTGCCTATTGATTCTTGTATTGATATCAACAGAGGTCAGATCTTTCTGTTTGTATAGCAAGAATCAAGAATAAGATAAGAAAAACTCAAGAACAGAGCATTGCATAAGTACACTTATGACAATTTTCATCCATTGTCTGGCATAATCTGGTATAGACAGCCACACTCGCTCCCACAATTAAAACATTTTGGTCTAAAAGTTTAGAGATTGATTTGCGAGAAAGACTATGAAAGGTTTGTGAGCCTCTTTTCAAGGTCTAGTTTACCACATTTCTAGAAACTATTGCATGAATCTCGGCATGACCTTATTTGATGTAGTACAGTTCCCAGAGTGCAAAGTTTCAAGAATCATGCTTTCATTCTGTGTTTTCGCCTGTCTCTCACTAGTTTACTATCTTATATCACAATTATCTTCTGCTCGATCACTTTGAGAAAAAAACAAAGTTAAAACATTTTGAAGCTTTACAGCTTTGAAACTGTGAAAGGTGCATTGAAACTATCAACTATAAAATTGTAGAGGATTTATTTGGCCATAAGTTGAGCCAAATGAGGTACGTCAAAATCGGATTGAAATCATAGTTGTGAGGCAAAATATACGTCAAAGTTATTATGGAAAAAAACAATTGTCCAAAAAACGACATTGAGGGATGTTTATTTTTTTCAAGGTTTGAAGGATTTCCATGAAATCTTGCAAGTGGATAATGCAAAGATTGAAATTTAGGGGAAAAAAACTTGCCCTTTCCTGGCCCACCTTGATAAAAATCAAATTTGGCCTCTGCAGCTGGGAAACCATTGAAGCTGCTTTGAAACTATTTATTTGCTAGAGATTCATTAAGGAATAAATTGGTCTTAATTTAAGCTTGATTATGTCAGCATCGGATCGGATTGAAATAAACAAAGATGTGGAGTAAAATGTGTGTCATTCTGAAAAAAAAACCAAGGATAACGCACGACTAACATTAAAAAATAATTAAATCGTACATGACATTATCACAAGCTTGGCAAAATCCAGAGCCCAAAAATCCCATGTTAGCCAGGCGTTATCCTTTCCAAGATAGGATATTGAAGGATTTTTTTTTGTAAATTTGATTTTGATTGAAATTTTGTAAGTAAAAAGAGAAAATAGACATTTGAGGGAGAAAATGTTACTTTTGCTTGCGTTTAGGCTTCCAGCTGAGAAATTATGGAAGCTGCTTTGAAACTTTTGAGTAAAGATTTGTGAAGGATTTAATTGCTGGCCATAATTTGAGGCTAATAATAACTCGCATAGAAATTAACAAAGTTGTGACGCAAAATATTCGCAATTTCTAAAATTACAACATCACATCATTATGGCCATCGAGGGACGTTTTATTTTTTCTTTACGGTAAATGTTGGAGGAATTGGTTTGAAGTTTTGCAAATGGACAGAGAAAAAATTGGAATGGAAAAAAATTAAAGTTTTTTTCTGCTTACTATTATTATTATTTATTATCATTATTATTCCCTCGATTATTCCCAAAGACTTTGGAGCATAACAGCTGAAACTATTTACCAGGGTTCGTGGAGAATTAAATTGGCCTTAATTCAAGCCTAATTGCGTTAATTAAGATCAGATTTAAATTAGCAAAATTGCAGGGCAAAATGTTTGTCGATGTCAGTTTGGAAAAAATTAAATTTTCAAAAAGTGACAATGTGGGTTGTTCTATGTTTTTTTTTTTGTAGAAAATGTTTGATAAAAAGTTCCTAAGACTTTGAAGCTTTGCAGCTTTGAGACTAATAGAGCTGCATTGATGACTAGAGATTTGTAGAGAATTTAATGATCCTTAATTTATGTCTAGTTACGTTAAAATCCGATCAAAATTAAAACAGCTCTGATGCAAAATAGGTGTCGATGTTATTTTGGGAAAAAAACAGAGGAATAATCAAATTATCAAAAAAATTACGTTGAGGAAGGTTCCATTTTTTTTTTGTTATAAGACGCGCTATTAGATAGATCAGTTATAGTTATTTATACACCAAGTGAGTTAAATGAATGTTTATTGGTTTCATAGTCCTAGCGGTTAACAAAAAAACCCTGCAAATTGTGTTAAAAGCATGAAACTTGGTAGGCACCTTAAATAGGTCAAGAGATTTTGCCTGCAGTACCCAAGGCCAAAAACATACCCCTATGGAGCAGCTCAGGGGCGGATCATATTCTAAGGGGGTTGAATTTGCAAATAAATTAAATAATAACCAATGCGGGCGAGTAATATGTCATTTTATATTGATTTGATATCACTGAAGTCAGTTTGAGCAATATTTTTGTTATAACTATTGTTCGTCGATTTTTAATTGACATTTTCCGTATGTAATAAAATCGACGGACATTATACAATTTTTAATATGGCGGCCAAATTTCCAACTTTAAAGCAAAATTTTGTTAAATTCGCTAATGACGCTAATATTAAGAGAAGTGTAAAATATGGGACTTTTTTTATTTAAATTACCATTTCTTATGATATTTTTTGCCATCCTAAGTACTTTATAAAATACTCCCTTGGAGCAGCTCAGGGGCGTAGCCTATCTAGGCAGATCAAATTTTAAAAATTATTAAATAAATTGGGAGTTGCACCAATCCAATATATCAATTTTTGACACAATTTTCAATCTATTTGTAAAAATTAATCAAAAACAACAATAAATGAACACAAACAACAAGATTCTATTGCTTTTCTGGAAACTCTGGGCTGTATCTCAAAACCCCAGAGAGTAGGGTACCTACACGCATCGTAAAAGTTGTATCCCCACCTAAATGTTTTAGTTTTATTCCAAATGTTTTCGAAAGTAAAATGTATTCACGGAATACCTTGTTGGATATGGATAGACGAATTAAGGGTATTATAGACCTTTTATTTCTGATATTTAGGTATATGTATATATGATAGAAGAAAAGTGAAATTTTAAGTTTCTTCTGATTCTGGTGCTTCTTCGACCCTAAAATAATTAATAAAAAAACGAGTGAGTTAACAAACTTACGTCTTGTCAGAGTTACAGCATTTTGCATTTTCTACATGCTGGTACTCCATATCGCCTACAACAACAACGCATACTTTCACACCGTTGTTTGCATCCACACCTGTCAAGTTCTCTTAGAGCAGACCAGACATGGGGCAACTTAGACCACAACAGTACT